AACTCTGCTGTCAGTAGGTTTTGAAAATCCTCCTGTTGCTTTTCACAAATTCTCTCTGCTGACCCAAGAAGAGTCCCTGCACTTGTTGTCGGCTTTAACTGTTCCAGCAGGGCTGGAAATGACAGGGGCCTGGATTAGTGGGGTCTGGCCGGTCTTCAGGGGGAATCACTAATCTCTAGGTCAGTCCTGTAACGGACCCGTATCACTGAGTATCAGCTTCCTTTCTTTCCTTATTTAGTTTGACCCTTTGGAGGAGGTTGTCCTGTTTTCTGGGAACCTGATTTGTATACTGGTAATTTTTCGAGCCTCTTTGTGGGGCTGGAAATCTTTGCTCTCATCCCAGGCCTTGCTTAGAGACGTAACACGAAGGTCCTCAGCTCTGTGCATGCTTGCAAGGCGTGATCCAGCATCCTCACACATTAATTTGCTAAAACAGAGTTTATATTTAAAGCCCAGAACACATTGCGTGGGAGCGAGGAACTCGAACTCCCCGGTTCTTTTTTGCACCTGCCTTGTGCTGGTGACATGCTCTTGGGTCCCAAGTATTCTCTAAGTGGGGTCACACTGCTAAGGCAGCGCTTTGAGGGAGGAGACGTCATGCTGAGCTGTGAGGCTGCACTTGGCCCCAAATCTTCTGCTATGGGGGTGTGGTGTCTTATTTAAACCTCTTTAAAAAGTGGGTAATCATTTATGTCGAATGTCCCTTCTCAGGGCTCTAACAACCTGAGAATTCATACCACTAATAAGAACAATAATACAATAGCTAACACATTGAGTAGTTTTTATGTGACAGAACTTGTGTTTAAAATGAACTTTTATTTGTTCTCATTTATCCTTTCTAACCCTGTTAAGTAGGCGATACTATCAGCCACATCTTATACGGGAGGGGACTACTGCCCAGAGAGGTTAAGAACTTAATATGTCTGTGACTGAATCACGTACCCGGAAAGACTATATCACACGTCCTCCCGTTAAAACAAACACGGCCTTGTTCCTCCTGATGGAAGTGCTGCAGGATGGCTGACGGGTTTCCCAGGGATTCCAGAATCATCTGGAAGAGCAGTCTTTTTCAAAACACTGTCTGTGGACCACTGGCGTCAGAATTTCCCCGGCTGCTTGTTAAAGTCGCAGCCATGCTGAATCACCACCTCTGGGAATAGGGCCAGGGAATCTGCATTTTTAGAAAGCTTCCCCCGGGTTTTCTGATGGACTCAAGTATTTCCATTGGCTTATTAATCTAGTTTATGGGGAGGCCTGAAACCAGCAACAGGGATTCGCGAGGCTCTACAGCAGTAGTCAGGCAAACTTTTTTCTGTAAAGGGCTGGATAGTAAAGAGCTTGGACTTTGTGGGCCATTCAGTCTCTGTTGCCCCTGCTCAGCACCGCCCTGATGTGATGCAAACGCCCTCACAGACTCCCGGTAACCAAAGGGCATGGCTGCATTCCAATAAAACTTTGTTTGCAAGAACGGGCGGTGGGGGGACCCATGGTTTGCTGACCCCTGAGAGTCATCCCAGCCCGCCAGCCCTCTGACCACCACTTTCTGTGGGAGTTATTCTTCTCCTGTCTGTTAATGACAGAGAGCTGTATCCGTTGAGATAAAATCACCTGTTGTCATAAACTGAATCTTAGTGACATAAAATAATAAAAGTCATTTTTCACTCATGTCACTGGGGATCTTCTCTGTGGTCACATAGGGACCAAGCCTCCTCCTTGTTGGGGCTTCACCCCTGTTGGTCCTCACAGCCCTCTCCAGTCAGCCAGTGGGTGAGGAAAGAGAGCAAGGATTATTCGTGGGAACTTTGTATGGGCTGGGTCTGGAGGAGGTACCCATCATTTCTGCCCACAACAGAACTCTTCCTGTTTAGAGTCCAGAAACAGTGATTTCTCAAGCCTGTGAGGCCCTTGGTCTCTAGACTCTCTCTGTTCCCTTCCTTTGTGTGAAACCCGTCCGGTTCTTGCCTGGGCTCGTCTCTTCTTTATAAAAAAAAAATTTTGCTAAGGTCAGCCAGGAGGAGCCAGGCACAGCCTCACTGCCGTATCCAGCCACTTTCCCTAGAGCTGCAGGCTCAGAAGGCACAGGGCCCCCTTCTGTGTAACTGTAGGGATACGTTTTATCACGTATTCTGCCACTGTGTTCCCTAGATCTCCATCTTCCTGGCCGCCAAGATCAGTTTCCTCACTGGCAGCTGCCTGCCTCCCAAGCAGGTGCTGTGTATTTTAGGCTGTTGCTATGGTAGCAGTCGCTACCGTATTAGTTCGGGGGACACGGCAGCTTTAACAGGTAAACCGAAATGCTATGGGATGGACACAGCTCAGTGTTGATTTCTTGCTCATGGCATATTCTAATACAGATGTTCCTAGAGGTGTGGCCTTGGTCTCTTTCAGAGACCAGGTTTTTTCCGTCTTGTAGCTCAGCCCTCCTGTCAGTCCTCATAGTCCTCTCCACCCTGTTAGCCAAGGGGAAGGAAAGTAGGCGCCTCCCACAGGACGTGCTGGACGTGGTGTTGGCGCTTCAGCCCATATTCTCTTGGCCAGAGCTCAGTCATGTGGTCGCGCTGCAAGAGGGGCTCGGAGATGTGGTCTAGTGACAAGCCCAAGAAGAAAGGAGAATAGGTTTTGGCGGGCACATAGCAGGGTCTGCTTCTTGGGCCAGGACTGTCTGATGGACTAATGACTGCTGGCTGAGGAGGGAGACTGTCAACAGGCAGCCTGCCTTGGTGCTCACCAGGGGTGCTCTCAGGTGTTGGCAAGTAAGATCCAAACGATGTGCAAATACCTTCATTAATACAACAAACATTTCCTGCATGTCCACTCTGTGCCGAGCAGTAGGCCAGACACCAGGACCCGCAGGAGAGCAAAGTTCCTCTTGGAGCTCTGGGTGACTCCTTTAATCACATCTCCTGTGCTGGGTACCAAGGAGCCCGGGAGCCTGGGGAGCGAGTCGGGGAGGCCAGAGGGTTTTGTAACATGGCGGTTCGAGTGCCTCCTGCAGCCGCAGAAAGGCACCCCATATAGTTCAGCCTGGCTCTCGCCATTAGCAAGCACTGTCTCCGCAGCGAATTGCATGAAATGTAATGAGAGGGGGAAAAGGGCAACTGAGAGCAGGTGTTCTGTTTCTGTATCTCTGGGTTGTTTTCATAGGACACTGCTTTCCTGCTATGAAGCTTCTAAGGATGTGGTTGCCCCAGGATGCAGGGTTGTCGTCTTTTTTTGTGTTAGTTTCTGGCTGTTGGCAAAGTTAGGGAGCTGGCACTGTGTCTGAGAATGCCCTCGGTGGTGCTTAGGGCAGCCCGGGGAGGGGCCCAGAGCCCAGCAGCCTTGCTCTTCTCATGATGTTGGTCATTTGTGTTAGAAGCTGCTGCCGCTGTTGGTGGTGGGATGGTGCCCCCCAAAACCGAAGAGGTGGGCTGAACTGGGCAGACAGAGCTTTCGTCACCAGCCATTGGGCATTCACTCTGTGCCCCATCTCTGGCCCAGGGCAGAGACGCTCCTGTCCCTGGAGCACACTCTGTTGGTACCCCAGGGCCGCCGGGGAAGGATCCTGCAGCTGTTAGGTGGGGCGCTGGCAGTATTCTCCAGGAGGGTTTTCAGAACGGGCTCAGAAAACGGGCATAGAGGACATATTTCCTGCATTCTGGAACAGGCCGTGGAGGGCAGTTTTAAATCTCTTCCAGAGACTTTTTTGAGGGGTAGAAAATCCTGTCTCTGGAAGCAGGACGGTAGCCTGGGAAATATCTGGGGCACACTTCCACGCAGTATTCATTAATTTGTTGCACATTTTCTGCTAAGGAAGTGAGGACTACAAAAGGTTAAATTTCTCATATAAGATTAATTCAGCATCTCTGTGAAATGGTGGAAGCAGAATACCAATAGACCCTCATTTCTCTCATGCTGTCTTGCTTGGAGCCTATCAAAGAGTGTCCTGGCAGAGAGTCAGGTCTGTGGATGCTGAACAGTGAAGTCAGTCTCTCTCTGAGCGTGCCAGGAAGGCTGTAATTTAGAAAATGTAGCTACCTTTTAAGGAAGGATGAAAAGGTACAAAATGCACCTTTCTTTGCATGTTGGAGCCCAAATATTTTGGAGCGATTTGTAGGTCCTGTGCAATTTTGTTTTCTACCATTTGGGAGAGTTATTTGCATGACATCTATAAGAACAAAATTTGTTAAAGCTGCTTGCGTTTGTGGGGCTCCAGTGGTTTCAGGAGCACTACTTGGGGTCCTAAATAGACTAACTCATCGATAAGATATGTGTCTTTTGAGTGTGGAACTCTGCATTCAAGATGTAAATGCAGTAAGAGTTTTACCCTTGTTTTAATTGCTCTTCACAATGCGTGTAATTTTTCTTATCTGATTTAAGGGGGGGTGGGGCTGGAGGAAGTGTTAGCTACTGTTACATAAACACTAAAGATCCTTGAAGTTAGATTTTTAGATTTTTTGTCAGTGCTGCTCTTTTTTTTTCATATTGTCATATTGTCGTAAATGAAAAGGGGTGGGGTGGGGCCTACCAGGATTTGGAAGTTTCTTCCTCCTATTTAAAGTTTCATTTCTGGTCTATAGCATTAAATAATGCTGGTTATTTTTATGTTGAATATTTGGGACAAAGAGCCTCTCTTAAACGAGAGATAATTGCAAGCTTTGTCCCTGGCCTCAAGTTTACTGCAGGGCTTCTCATCCCCTTTGGTTATACAGAAATGAAATTATAAACCACCAGTAGCCTTGGAAATCTCAATCGATTCCAAATGACTAAATATTTAATTCAATCATTGCCTATACTTCCAGGGATGACTCGGGTGTTTTTCTTGTTACTGAGGGCTCCATGAGCGCCGGCTCTGCAATGGCTGCTGGGGACTGTGTGTGTTGCAAGGAGGCTCCCCTGCAGTGAGGAGCCGGGGCAAAGCCTGTCCCACAGCAGCCCTTTTTGCAAATGGTAGTCGATTTTTGCAGAAGGTTTGTGGCCAGATCGCTATGTATAATACTGATGAAGCATTTTTGTTCCAGCTCTGTCTCGGAAGACCTAGGCTGTAGACGTGGGGATTTCAGTAGGAAACATTATGGATCTGTGGAGCTGGTAAGTTTACACTGTCTGTTCAGTGGTAGTACATTGATTTAGATTTAGAGCATCGCCGAGCTCATCAGGTCTTTTGTTGTATATTTACTGTCAGACCATGTGGGTACCGTGTGGGGCTGGGATGGGAATAAATGACTATTGAAAGGCCATAATAATCTGATCATCTTTATCTATTTGTTTTTATTGTTACGTACTCTGAATCTGTGCCTTCCAGTTTGTTAAAAATATGTTGTGGCTTGGTATTTTTCTCTGGTGCATATAATTGGGGTATATAATTAAATGATTTATGAATTAAGAGAGGCAGCATTTGGTTTTTATATTATCTTATTCCTAAAAGTTGACAAATCTAGTTTTTGAGGTTTAAATATTATTGAAATACATGTTCTGATTTTCCGTACCTTTGCTTTCTGGGTATGTGGTAGGAGTTAGAATATTTATGAGATTTTTTTTCTTCCTGTTAAAAGTATATTTGTTGGGCTAGAATATACTGTGATAGTTGATAGATATCTGGAATGAAAATATCTACATTTTCCTTGCGAGAGACATTAGGGTTTATGTTACGAGCTTTTAAAATAGTATGCTTTCATTTTAAAAGAGGAATAATGAAGGCATATTTTAGCCTCAGTTTTTTAAAAGACAGAACTGTGATTTTTTTTTCCCCCAATTGCATGGAAATTTGAACCAATTTTCAGGAAAATGTGCTCATAGAATCTTCTTGATTATTATTTAACACTATTAAAAACATTGAATTTATTATTTCTATCTATTTATAAAACATGAGTTGCTTGGATCCATTTGTGTAGCACTCCATTTTCTTCCATTAATATATGCTGCATTCTTGCGGGGCTTAAGTAGTAGGACAAATTATACCAGAGCTGCGTACCAGTAGCAGTGTTGGAATTCACTCGAATATTACAGACTTGACTGTATATCTGGCCCAGGGCTGAGTATTCTTGAAAACATAAAATAAGTGAAAGATTTGGTCCTTGTTCTTAAGGAGCTTACGGTCTTGAGCTGGGCAGATAAGATACATAAAGCAGCTAGAAAATGAATTTAGTCACATGAAAGACACATTGATTGACTCCATCAGTGCGTGTTCTGTGTCCATCGCTGGTGGCACCGGGCCAACTCAGACCACCGCCTCCCTCGAAGGAGCATGTGTAGAGCTATAATTCAGGGCGTGAACTGGTAAATCTCGTGAGAGGGATACAGATAGGGCCCGGTGGGGGTGAAGAGAAGGGAGGAAGTGACCCATCCTAGCCAGGGATCTCGGGGAAGCAGCCCGGAAGGCCTCGTGGAGGCTGTAGGATGGCCGTGGGTTGGTGGCAGAGAAGACAGACAGTGGATATTTGCAAACAATGTGATTCTTGGCAGTGATGTATTCCAGGGGCAGTGAGCAAATGGCCCTGCTTCGAAGAGTGTATGAGGCAGCCGAGCTGAGTGGCCACAAAGCAGGCAGGCTTTGAAATCAGGCCTGGCTTCACATACCAGCTCCAGCACCCACTACTGCCTGTGGACTTCTCTGAACCTCAGTGGCGCTTAAGAACTTGTGCCCAGAAGTCATTTTGTTTCATCATTTCCCACTTGTCTGATCTTGGACTTCTTTTGGCCTCAGTTTTCTCATCTGTGGGGATATTATATTATTATATTATTATATGTTATGTAAATGGGGATATTAATATAATCTACCTTATAGGGTTGTCAGGAGATTAAATGAGATGATGCACATAAGCACAGTCCATATTAGCTAGCCGTGGTGGTAAAGATGAAATTTGGTAACCAAAGGAGGACCTTGACTTGCAGGTGGACTTTGGACCGGATCCAGTAAGTCACATGAAGCTCTTGTAAATGGTGAGAGTGGTGTTTGGGGAGACAACAAAGGTGTGAAGGATGGACCCTTTATAGACTTGTGGAAACCACAGGCTGTCAGACTGGGGAGGTAGTTGAGAGAGGTGGTTCTCAAACCTGAGCAGGCATCTGCATCACGTGGAGAGTTTCTCAGAACAGACTGCTGGGCCCCCGTCCCCAGAGTTTCCAATCCAGTAGGTCTGGGGTTGACCCAGAATTTGTGTTTCTAGCAAGCTCCCAGGGGATGGTGATGTCGCTGGTCCCAGGACCACACCTGAAGAAAGCCTGCCTTAGAGAACCCCAGACTTGTCATCGATTATCCTCAGCCTAATGAGGCAGCTCATTGACCAAAATTCTTCCTTTTATTTGTTCAAGTTTTTGTTTGCAAGCCATGGGTGTGTCTGTCTCTCTGTGTGTGTGTGTGTTTCTAGCTGACTTTTAAAATAGTATAAAGTAAATTTTAAATACATTTAAAAATTCCATATATAATTCCCCTGCCCCATTGCCACTTTTTTATCTCATTTTGGTACCTTCCAATCTTTCTAGCGACTAACCTCAGTTCCACCTAGCTGTAATCAAATTACACGTATAATTTTCTCTTCCTCTTTTTTTTGTCCAGCCGTATTTTGCAAATGTCTTCTTGTTATATAGCCCTCATGTTACCATTTTAACCACGTGATAGCCCAACATCGTTATAAACAGTTCTCTGGGTAACAGTTCCCCTCCTTTTGTAAAATTAGGTTGTGTCGACTTTTCCCTTGTCAGGAATGGCATGTCTTGGTGGTTGGAATGGTTGAGAAAAATCAAATGAGCCAAGTTCCATTTTTGCTGTCTAAAGATCTCTTGAAAATCTGACTCCGCTGTTTTAAGGAAGGAGACATTTTCTCTCATCTTTGACCAACAGCTAATTATAAAAAACTGTTTCTGTATTTTGTGTATGCATCAGAAAATAAGTTTTAACTTTTTTTTTTTAAAGATTTTATTTATTTATTTGAGAGAGAGAGAGAGAGCATGAGAGGGGGGAGGGCCAGAGGGAGAAGCAGACTCCCCGCCGAGCAGGGAGCCCGATGTGGGACTCGATCCCGGGACTCCAGGATCATGACCTGAGCCGAAGGCAGTTGCTCAACCAACTGAGCCACCCAGGCGCCCAAGTTTTAACTTTTTTTACACACCTGGTTTGATGAAATTGTTGGAAACCCAATCAATCTTGGGCATCTTGAAACTCAAAGTTTGTAGAAGGGTGCAAAATTGAAATTTGAGCATAGACTTCTTTTGACCTTGAACAAATGAGGTAGAAGTCCTTGTGAAGAACCAAGCTTGGCTATTGACATCAATAATGAGGACAGATTTGGGGGCTTAGTTGTATGAATTCCATGTATGAAAACATGGAAGCTCAGACCTTTCTAGACTCATGGGGGGTTTCTTGGCGCTCATCCAATACCCACGTATTGAAGGCCTGCCCCTGCCCCCCCCCCTCACTGGGCATGGTGCTAGGCACTGAGCAGAGGGAAAAGGCAGTTTCTCTGCTTTCCTGGAGCTGGGGTCTGGCTTTAGGAGCCAGCAGTCTCCAGCATTTGCTGCTTTGCCGGAGCCCAGCTGTTCCCTGCCTTCATCAGGAATTGTTTCCTTGCAAGGAACAAAGACCCACTCAGTCCAGCGCAAGTCTAAAGTAATTCACTGAAAGGGTGTGGGTGAAGCTCACCAAAATGAAGCGCAGGAAACACAGCTGGGCCTCATGTGACCAGGAAGCCATCAGACTCTAGCTAATTTCTCAGGTTCTCTTCGGTCCCTGTGACTTCTCGCATTCACTCTCCGAGTGCTGATGCATCCTCTCAGCCGACCAGCTCCCCTGACTGCACAGTCAGTCACCTCTCTCCCGTCTGCTTTCTGAGCAGTGGCGGCGTTTTTAACACCTCTTTTCATGGTGGTCAAATATACACAACAGAAAATTTACCATTTTTAAGTGTACAATTCAGGGGGCAGGAAGTACATTCACAATGTTAGGTGACCATCATCATCATCCACTATCAGAGCATTTTCCATCAGCCCAAACAGTAACTATACCCATTAGACAGTAAGTCCACATTCGCCCTTTCTCCCCAGCCCCTGGTAACCTCTATTCTGCCTCTGTCTCTGTGAATTTGCCTACTGTAGGGACCTCACGTAAGTGCAATTCTGCAATATTTGTCCTTTGTGTCTGGTCTATTTTACTTAGCGTGATATTTTCAAGGTTCATCCATGTTATAGCATGTATCAGAATTTCATTCCCTTTTGTGGATGAACTCCATCCTTTGTATACACCACATTTGGCTTATCCATTTATCTATCTCAGTGCACACTTGGGTTGCTTGTACTTTTTTTTTTTTTTTAAAGACTTTATTTATTTATTTGACAGAGAGAGACGCAGCCAGAGGAGGAACGCAAGCAGGGGGAGTGGGAGAGGGAGAAGCAGGCTTCCCGCGGAGCAGGGAGCCCGATGTGGGACTCGATCCCAGGACCCTGGGATCATGACCTGAGCTGAAGACAGACGCTGAACGACTGAGCCACCCAGGCGCCCCGCTTGTACTTTTTTACTATCGTGAATAATGTTGCTGTGAGCACTGGTGTGCCGGTCTGTGTTCAAGTCCCTGCTTTCTTCAGTTCTGTTGGGTCTGTTAACTGAAAGTGAAATTACTGGATCATATGATAATTCTATTTTTAACTTTTGAAGAACTCCCAAGCATGTTTCCATAGTGGCCGCACCATTTTATGTCTCCACCAGCGATGCACAAGGGTTCCAGTTTCTCCACAATCTCACCAATACTTGCTCCATCTTGTTTAATAGCCATTCTAATGTGTTGTAAAGGGGTGTCTCATTGTGATTTACCTTTCACCCATGACCAATGATGTTGAGCATCCTTTCATGTGTTTATTGGTCATTTATATTTCTCCTTTGGAGAAACGGTATTCAAGTTCTTTGCCTTCTTTGCTCATTTTTTAATCAAGTTGTTTGTTTTGTTGTTACTGAGTTATAGGGGTTCCTAATATATTCTAGATATCAATTCCCTTATCAGATAAGTGATCTGCAAATCTTTTTTGCTGTTATGTGGGTTGTCTTTTTACTCTGTTGACAATATCCTCTGATGCATAAATTTTGTAATTTCCATGAAGTC